AGGTAAATACAAAACATAATTCTTCTAAAATGTTCCTTTTTTTTTTTCATACAGCTAGCTCAAATCTTTGTCCTAGGAATTTAATCTGCCTATTAAAATGAAATTCTAAGAAAACTCAGAAAAAGTCAAAGACTAACCAAATAGATGAGAGGCGTCGGTGTTGGAAGGCGGCGAGACGGAGAGGCGGTCTTCTTCTGCCGATGCAATGCGTCGAGGATAGAGACTCAGAGACGAGAGTTATTGTTGAGAGAATTCAAGTCCCAGATTTTGCGGTTTTAGCCTTCAGGTTTGGATTTGCAGATTTGGGATCTCCTTCCACGGTGAGAGATTATATTGGATTAAATGGATTTGGATATTGGATTTGGGTCAAATTATAATTTATAGGAAAAAATTCATAGGACGCCAATTATCTTTCACGAAATCACATCCCAAAATTTAAATTTACAAAACTCAATTTTTCCATGAATTAATTAATTATATTTTATAATTAATCTATTAAATTAAATATTTAACAATAATATAAAATATCTCACCCCACCCCACCTCCACCTCCACCTCCACCTCCACCTCCACCTCTTCAATGACTGCTCGGGCGACTACTTCAAAGACCGGCGATTACTTCGACAACTATTCTCCAGTCGCGCTTAAGTCCGACGAACATTTTTCGGTAACCGTTAATTTCGGTAACTGCTCCAATTCCAAGGTCACAGATTAAAAAATTTATATGTCACAGGTCACATATTTTAAATTTGTGGGTCATAGATTCCTTTTTTTAATTACAAATTATCAATTTTAAAGTCACAGTTCAATAGCGAGGTCACAGACACCAAAAAAAATCACCACAGTTCAATAGCGAGGTCACGGATACCAAAAAAAAATAACACAGTTCATTAGCAAGGTCATAAACACTCAAAAAAACCACCACAATTCAATAGCTAGATCACAAACACTAGTTGAGTCACAGACACCAGAAAAAACCACCACAATTCAATAGTGAGGTCACAGACACTAGAAAAAAACCACCACCGAGGTCACGAACACCAGAAAAATCACAATAGTTCAATAGCGAGGTCACAGACACAAAAAAA